ACTAAAAAATATTATTTAAGAAGCAAGAATAAGTAACTAACACAGAACCAGGAACTAAGGCTGAGTATCACTAGAGCAGCAAGGAAATGAACCAACCATTCAAGAATGTGTGAATGTATGTATTCCTTCCATCATTCCTTTCTTCAGATGTTAAATGAGATACAACTCCCTTACTTGAGTAGTTGGGATCAAGAATAGGAGGTAATTCTTTGACCAGAATGGAAGGCTCACAGTCACAAGAATCAGACACCCATGTCCCAAGATCCTTTGATTAAAAAGCTACTCTAGACCTATTTCCACATGTTTGGATAATAACATCAAAGAGGAACTTAGCAAAATAATTCAAGGTCACTAAGTGACCACATATCCAAGTATATGCTCAAACTGGAATCCCCAGATCAGAGAGTACAAATATTCCTGGCCTTTTGAGCCTCTTCACTCCCACCTCTACATGTCAGAGCTCTGCATGTTATGAGGTGAAACTTTTTCCCTTTCTATTTCTCCCTACTTTGTTCTGCTTTGCTAAATAAATCTTTGCTGGCCGTCTACCCCGTGATTTTCCTTTTGTGAAATGTTTCAAAACTCTTTTCATCATGGATTTCCAGAGCCTGTATGTCCAGAGGTAGTTGAGGAGTTTAGTGGAGAAACCCCCTATTTCCTGGAGATTCTCCTCACCCCCACACACTTCTCCAGTGACGATTCAAACCCAGGTCTTCATAATTCTTAAGCTCCAGAGTTTCCTATTACAGCATTCTGCCTTTGGCCATCCCTTCACAAATGGACATGGAATATTATTTCTTTACTATAGGAATCGCTGTAGAAGGAACATTGCTAGAATATTATGACTGGAATATTTCACTAAATAAAAATAAGAGCAGCTGATATTTAATGTGTCCTAAACCAACAATCTTGTGAAGTAGGTATAATCATTTTCCCATTTTACACACAAAGAAACTGAAACAGAAAGTTATGTAACTTGTCTAAGGTCTTATGGCTAAGATGTGCCATGGTCTTAACTACAACACAATATTTTTGGGGATACATTTTTGTTGTTGTTGTTATTGTTGTTGTTGTTTGCCTCTCAAGATCTGATGTCCATCCTTTTCCATTTCGTTCTGTGCCTTCAGATTCTGATTTTATGAACTGCCTCAACAGAACGCCCTGGTTGTCTGGTTCCCAGTTAGACTAGGAGAAATGGAAGGCACCAGCAAATGGGAAGGGTTGGGTGATAATTTCCCCACCTCCATCCTCACAGGACTTCAGTTTGCCTATCCAAGGCCACAGTTCTTGATGAGTCCTCAGCGTAGGGGCTAATGTGAGCTCCCTCTTCCTCCCCTTCAGGTTTAGGGGCAATATAGGTGGATCCATTGTTACTAGATTAATCCTGCCCAAACTATGGTAAACCCTCATTCACTAAATGCTATTTTGCCCCCTTTGCGTTAATCATTTGTCTTCTGCTGGAATGATTATTGATATACTTCCTCTATAAGAAAATAACATCTATTGGATCAATCCACCATGTTGGGATGTCCAGTGAGAAGTTATTTTGAGGACATGAGTTAGGGGAGATGGGAAGAAAAGATGGGGATGTTTAGGAAAAATTAATAATCTAATTAACAATGGATCTTTTCATGCCAGCTCCTTTAGCATAGGATTTGGTATCTCTAACTTTCAAATTTCAAATTTGGACTTATTCTTATTCTAAAGGAAGTATTCATCAGTCAACTGATGGTACTCATTTATGAATAAATGGAGGAGTGGTACGGTAATGGTTTAGTTCTTGTTCGACTTCAATGGGGAACTAAGTATATCCTTGGAATATGTTTTAATTTCTGTTTCCAAAATGTAATACCCTATAGCAATTTATAGAACACCAATGCTTAGCCAAATAATTTCTTCACGTTGATTTTCCTTTTATGTTAAATAAAGAAGATACCTAGATCTTCTACTAAAACATTGTTTAAAAAAAACAGAAAACAAAAAACTTCAAGTTAGCTTAAGAGAGTTATTAATAGGAAACTGATGAACTAGGTTAAGAGAGTAACAAAATACAGTTTCCTTTAGAAAAATGATATAAAAATTTTCTCTTGAATAAAGTGCAAGGCCTTAATGTGTGTCTGTTAAGTGTGTAGATATCATTGGAGCATCTATTTTCCTTACAATTTGTAGTGTTCATATAATGAAAAGAATTTAGAACAATGAGAAGAGAAAAATGACTAAATTCCATACCAGAAATTTTGTAAACTCAGTTTTAACATGGTCACAACACTTCCTATTAACAAATCTTCCACATTATCTTTTCACAGTACCTTTCCTCACAAACAGGAAAAAGAAAATTGCCTATTCACCCTGAATTCTCCCACTAGGATTTATTTCCCAGCAACAACAACTCATACAATATTTAGCTAACACAGTGGCACAATTTCCCTTCTTTAAAAACAAACTAGTAATTTTTACAATAACTGGTATCAGTTAGCATTTATTGAGCACATACCAGTATCAGACCTTGTGTGGAACATTTTATATGCATTATCTCATTTAATCTTATAATCACTTTCCAAAATGCAAATTCTATTATCTTCATTTCACAAAAAAAAAGGAAACTGAGGTTCACAGAGCCCATGTCACAAAGAAATGCAAAATTGTTATCATTATTATCATTCAGGATTCATTTATCTATAGGTAACTGAATGTTCGATTCTAATTAACTGGAGCAAAAACATCATTTCTTTAGCTCTGGAGGCTCAGCATTAAGATGGATGAGAGTGCTGACTTAATCCGAAGATTGGATTTCCTTAGTTCTTTCTCTCCTTTTTACCTGTTTTGTTCTCAGACTTGGATCAAGCTGCTAGCAGATCATGGATTCATACATCCGTATAGGAAACTATCTACACAAAGACAACTTCTCCTGGACACCCCTAAATCTCCTTGAGTCTCACTGGTACAAAAGAAGTAAGACATCCTTTCCTGCACTAATGGGAAAGGGATATGGAGCTGCTATGAATGGCAGATAAATCAAGACCCTGCCGGCATAAAACTCAATTTTATGAAAAAATGGAAAACTTTAGCAATGATTTTTCTCTACTGCTATTCTGCCATAGTTAAATTTAAAGATCAGAACATCAGTTGATGATCTGGAAGAAAAACACTATAAACAAAGTAGCAGGCTTCCCTGCATCTATAGCATTTTCTGCAATTTACACCAATTTTTATAAATTATTATTCTTCAAATTTGCTGATTTATTAATTTTGGCAAATTTGGTAAGCATCAGAATTGTGAAAAAATTTAGGACTATAAAATTATATATCATGGTTTGTCTAATAAATAAAATGTATACCTCTATAATACTTATTTTCTCTGTTTAAGGCAAAAACATTTTCAATTTTACATAACATGATTTCCCCTGGTGTTTGTGTACAAATGGAGTCACAGGACATATACACATTTTTTTTTCTGGCTCTGGGGCCTAGCTCCTAAAAAAAAGTCCTACGGTTCTGCTCACAAATTCACCCAACTTCTTTTCAGTATCTCTAGGTTGTATCTGCACACAAACAGGTCTGAGAACCTGTGTTTTCAAAAGTCTTAGGTGCTGGTGCTGTGAAGCACCACGTCCACTAGACATGACATCCTCTCCTGGTCGCAGCACCCCATCTGTCTCCAGTGAACACCAACAACTGCTGCTTCCAACCCACAGCCTCAAACCCTAAGCTGGTGGTTTACTCACTGATACAAAGAAAAAGATGCTATTCCTCACTTATACGGCCTCCACCCCAGGGTCTTACAGAATTTCATGTTAAAAACAACTTTTACCAGCAGGCTTTGCTTCATTAACATCAAGTGCAGTATGTGGAATGAGACAAGAAGTCCAGTTCCTGAGAATCCTACATTCTTTCCCAATCCCTTCCCAGGCTTCCAAATTCTTACTCAAACATTTATGCAAACCACTAAGGGATCCCCTTGCAGTTCTTAGACCCTGCCCAGGCATTTCTAAGTCACTAATGTGGACAGAATATGGACTCAAGCCATAACCTTCTCAAAAGAAAAAGCTGTCTCTTCCAAGAAAACTTCTTTTAGATTAAAGTAACCTTCTAGGTTTATATATTTCAACATGCAGAGGAAATATTTTTGATAAATCACTTGCTCTAGAAGTTTGCAATGTTCTATGAGTTTCATGATGATATAATAAGAACTCTTTAGTTATAAGACAACTACTGAACAATTTCATTTAAGACACAAATGAATCTATGAAGAAAATAATAGACCTTGTAGGGATACAGTGACCACATCACTTGAATGTGAATTATGCCTACTTGAAATCTTTGTTCTGGTATGTTCCCAAAAACTTAAGTGGTAACCAAATAATTAATAGGTATATAAAATATTATTACCATGAGGAGGCCAAGATCATAAAAAAAAATAAGGAATTATGACAATTATACCTATTTGCAAAGACTTTTTTTTACAGTATATCAAAATTTTACTACAAATGAGTTATAGATTTTATTATCAAAATTTTTTGATAATTAGTTAACTTAGTCATAATTGTTTACTTTTAGCCTTGGAAAACAAAACTCATTAGAAACTTGCTCAATGATTTACACTTTTCATAGTCTATTACAATAACCAGTCAAGTCTCATTTTTCCAGTTACCTAAAAGTTGTGCATCAGAAGCACCAATTGGTCTTACTAAACCACAAAAACAATAAAAATTTTATTCAGACTAAATGAATGTTAAATATATGTGTGCTTACAGTAATTTGTTACAGTAATTTGATTATATAATGCAATCTAAAAATAAATATCAGATAAATCAGGTTCTCTACATTAGCTCAGTGTTCTTTTCACCTATGTGTGGCCAAAGAGTAAAACCTGTCAGTTCAAATTGTTTTGAAATCAAGCCTGTCACAGCAGGGTGGCCTAACTGATTTTGGTAAAGTAGCTGTAATAAGAAAGATCCACTGACCTCGTTAACTTGTTTTTTATCTAGATGGAACACTTGACCAGAACTTGTAGAAGCAATTTCTTCATAAACTTTATATCCAATATGGTTCCTGTCATCACAGTCTCCAGTAAGCACAAACACCACCTGTGATTTTTATAAAGGGAGCATAATTTAATGGCTTCCAGAAATCAATACATTTATTGGGCACCTATTATGTGTCAACATATTACTATGCAATGCAATATACATATATACACATATGTACATACGTTCATAAAATTCCTAACTGTGTACTCTGTTCAGTAGGGAACCCACACAGGAATATATTACATTTCAGAAGCACGGCTAAAAGCTGTGAAAGTGAAACTATGACTGGGCTGGATTATAAGACGTCTTCGATGACTCAGCTCTCCTTGTATCTGTACACTTTACCAAAGAATTTTGAAGTTCTCGCTAAAGAGGTGCATTTATTTTGTCATTTTTGTATCGAAGCTTGGCCATATGACTTTCTTTGGCCAAAAGCATAAAGCAAATAAGGAACATTCTACAAGTTCTGTGCTTCAACATAAAGGGCCTTGTGCATTTCCACCTGATCTCTGCCACTTCTGTCATGACCATGAGAAGGTCATGCCTGAGCTAACTTACTCATCACAGAACAAGACTAAGCACCCTGGGGGACAAAGCCAATGTGCCCAGAGCTCAATTTAGACTACCTAAACCCAAACTCACAAGTGTGCAAGTTTAGCATACAGTAACAGAATTCTGCTAACTTATGAGAAATAAATTACTTATTGCTTTAAACCATTTACTATTAGAACCATTTGTTATCCAGCAATAGCTAACGATAAGTAACTGACTCAGGCAAGATTCCACATGGGAGGTAACATTTGAAATATAGGTCTTTTTTGTTAGGCCTATGTTTTTGCAGTTATAAGATAGTAATGAGAAGCTTATTAATCCCCAATAATTTCTTCTCTGTATTAAAAAACTTACATTCACATTTATTATGTTTAAATTAGATGATACATATTGGTATATATATGCAATTATTATTATGTATCACACATGGAATAGTCACAGGATAGGCAACCTCTCATGAAAAGCTTTGGACTTGATTCCTACTCACCTGAGACTGTTTCTGTTGGATAAGCTGCAGCACCTCATGGGTGAGCCGGTAATCCTTGGACCGTGCATCAGTGAAAACATAGATGAAAGAACCAGGAAGAGATATTTCCAAGGCAATTTTTATAGCTCCAATACTCATTTCTGGACAATCTCCACCACCCTGTTGAGCAGAAAGAAAAATGCAATGACTTCATCAGCAAAAAAGAAATGGTTATTTTAGTCATAACAAGTTGCTTTAACACTTTGAAAAATCAAACGAAATTCTCTTCATTCTTTCATCAGTTTGTCAGTGAATCAATCATTTCAGCCAGGAAGGGATGGAAAAGATATAAAGTGACATAGAACTGAAAAAATCTGTACTCCTAGATAAATTTTCAATTCACACAAAACACACAAAGTAACAGAAGTTGGTATACAGTTTTTACTTAAATGTCTACTCATTCTGCTCTCATACATAACTATCTCATACATTCCCTCTTTCCTCGTCTCTTCTCACTCCTATTTGATAACCCTGCTGTTTATTGTACTGAGGAAATAGAAGCAATCAGAAGAAAATATTCATAGGCTCTCCCCATGATGGCTATCAGGCTACCTACAATAGCAGCCACGTGCCTGCCCTAACAGTGCAGTAACTGCACTCATCACCCTTATCACGAAAGCTTGCCGATCACATGTGCACTCATCAAGGACATGGCTCCTGTGGCTGTCCCCTCTTTCTGCCCCATCATATTCTTAACTGAGTCATTCTCACCAGCAGACAAGCATACTGGTACACCTCCCAAATGCTCAAATGTTACCTGTCAGGGAAGTTTTCCATGAATACCTTTTATAGAATACACTCTGGCTGTCAATGTTTTCTCTCTTACTCTTCTTCTTTTTTCCTATTACCCTATAAAGTCTGCTTTGCATTTTCTACTTAAAAAGGTTTAACATGTTTTCCTAAACAAAAGTAGTCACCAGCCTGAAAGTAGTTCTTCTCACATTTATTTCCTTCACAGTTATGTGGATTGGTAATATGAAAGTCTGAGCATAGTGTATTTACAGTTTTATACATTGTATCTTGAACTTAGAATTAATCCTGTTTATTAATCATGTCTCCATGTCATCAATGTTCTTAATTAGTAGTTAAATCCACCAATCCTCTGTTGTTGAGTATTAATGCTCTTTCAAGTTTTCTTCCTCTGTCACACTTTCCCTAGCTCAGATGTTAGTAACTACAGGAGCAAGGAAATATAAACTTTTGACCAACATGATTTGAGCATCTAAAAGCTACTAAAGGCCTGTACTATTAACATACAACAATGAATCAGCTAAACCACCTTGTCTCTGAAGAGCTCATGGTCTACCATAAGCAAAAAACAAACAAACAAAAAAAGTAGGACAGCTTGTGATCATGTGGGCTTTGTGACTCCAATAACATGTAAGAGCTCTTCAGATCTTATTAAATGCTGTGATTCTCCTATCAAGTTTTCTCCAAGCTCCAAACAGTCACAGATTCTGATACAGATAACTTGAGCATCATAGTTCTAATCAGGGTCATAAAAACCTGGCTTTAGAATTGTGTGCACTGTAGCCTGGATGAACTGGAGCTATTTCTTGCACTGGATCCTAAGTGAGTATTACAGCCTATGGGTACCTTGTTAAACAAGTTAACAACTGTTACGAATTACCACCAAAATGAGCCACTCTTAATCATCGGAGGCTGAGGCTATAGTGACCTGTTCTCTACTTTGGTAAAGATATTAGTCATTGAATACTAGAAATTTTAACAAATTAAAAGTCCTTTCTTTATTTGCAGGACTTATATCCCACCTTCTGTCACTTACATGCATTTTCAATTCATTTTGTTTAACACACAGCACTGCTCTCAAAAACTTGTTTACTTGTATACTTGTATAAGACTATACTTACCTCTCAAGTTCTAATTTTTCATTTTTAAGTTTTTGTTAGATATTTACATCTAGATGTTCTATGGGTCTCCCCAGTTCAGTGAGTCTAAAATGAACTTTACTATCTTTTTCTCCAAACCACATCTTCCCTATGTTTGTCAGTAGTACTATCTGCCTAAGTGGGTTCAAAACCTAAGTTATCTTTGACTCCTTTCTCTACCTTCTTCTCAGTGGTCAAATACTATTCATTCAGTTTCCACCATGAATCTGTCCCTTTTCTTTTTACTTCCTACCATTTGCTCTTCTTGTCACCATTTTTTATTATCATACTATTGTATGTGAGGTACACTGTGACATTTACAAAAGTTCTTACAATTATCATAGTTGACTCACCCCCTCCACCATTCTCCTTTATCCCCTCCCCCATCGATACTGATTTCATTGCATGTACAGCCTGTCTAACTTTCTGTTCTTCCTGCCACTAACTTTTAATTTTTCTGCATAAAGATATATATCTAAGAATATGATATATGTCACATTTCTTCTTAAAATTTTATACTGAGTACATGTATTGGATCAAATTCTGTTCTAGCTTTCTACATCCTGTTGGCTCCTTTCTCCATTGATGGCCTACTTTAAGGGGAGACTACTTCTATTCTTTGAATATTGCTGTTGCTTCACTCCTTAATGTCTTCAGTACTTTCATTCAAGTAATCTTTCTGTTACTTCATCAAACACTCCTCACCGAAAGATGCATGTCTAAATTCCCCAATTATTGTAGAAGTTCTCTGATGGCAGGAACAGAGCTTCCCTGAGTCTCCAAGTTCTCAGTTCACAACACCTTGCAACCATGAAGTAATCACTGAGTAAATATTTGCTGAATTGAGCTCTTTTCTTCCCAAGGTTGAGATAACAAGCCTTCCCCTTTTTAAAACTTGATCTTGCCCCCAGTCAGATGTACCTACTCACTCTTTAGTACTCTAAAATGCTTTACAATTTACTGGTACTTAATGTACTTACCTTTATATAACCGTTATTTGGGTGATTATCATGTACAACAAATGCCTCTGAATGACTGTTTGTAGACAGGAAAGTGGGAAATAGCCACAACGCATGTTAGTAATTTTGGTGTGTGGGATAAGAATAATTTTTACTTGTAGCCAGTTTTCCTATCTATAATGAATATTCTGGGCTGCTCAAAAAAATTAGATTTCTATTGCATATTCAGAAGTTTAAGCAAAAGCATTCCTGAACTGTGCTTGCCTTTGTGTGAACCACAATATAAATCATCCATTATATGGCATTTGTTGAATTTGTACACAATACAGCTCCATGCAGTATAATTCTATGGAGAGACTGTCTATTAGCAATTGTTATCTAGTACCAAGGAAACAGAAGTCTTCCATCTATGGACCAAACATCAGATCTCTATAGATACATTTAGGAAGTATGAGAAATCTTGTTTATTTACTGAGTGAAGTACAGTCTCTGAGGTATTTGGCTTGGGTATAAGTTTTCTCTAAGAGTTGCTGTGGCTGCCTAGGTCTCTAGGCATCCCTAACCACTCCTCCAGAGTAGACAGTAGATACCACGGGAATCCTTGGAAATGACACCTACTGGGAATCCAACACACATAGGAACATGTACTAAAATGGGGTCCCTGACTTTAACTATTTTAAACCCTATAAATTTGAAGAGAGCTACTTAAATCACACATTAATAAAATTAATATAGTCAACAACATTTTTCTAAAGGATTAGAGGCACCTTATTGTCCTAAGAAAAAGTCCTTTGAGAAAAGTGGACCTGGTGTACATGAGAGATAATACTGGTTAATAGTCAAGGGAAAGCAAGTGATGAACTCTCAAACCCCACTGAGAATTTCCCAAATATTGTTATTTAGGAATATTATTACAAATGAAAGATTTCCCTTTTATTTCCTGAGCTTTCCTTATACTATACTCTTCACAATGAACTCTTTGACTTTCATGGAAAAATTAATGGAAATTCCCAAGGCAACCAGAATAGTTAAAGAAAGAAGTAAAAAAGAAGCATTTTGACAGGCAAATGTCAGAAGCCCATACTGGGATGTGCTTGTAGCTTAAGTTTTTACTGTAATGGATACTGGTGTATACTTTACACTACAATGACCATTCTTCCCTAAATTTCACATTTTCAAACACAGATTATATTGTAATCTTATTGATTATATACTGTAATCACGCTGACTATAAATTGTTTTCAAGAATAAAACTCGGGGCTGGTGGAGTGGCTTAAGTGGTAGAATGCCTGCCTAGCAAGCGTGAGGCCTTGAGTTCAACCCCCAGTACCACCAAAAAAATAAAAAATAAAACTCTTCTCTCCCCAAAATAGCACAGTGTCATTATTACCTTTCTGCTTATCTAACTGAAAAATTAAAAGTAAATATTAACTACTAATTCATATCTTTGTGAAAATATTTGTGTACCTCATTGTAGACATAGGTTCCTGAAAATAAAAATCAGCATTCTTTTCTAAAAGATACTAAAATATAGTGTCATAACCATATAAGAGCTCCATATCTGATACTTGACTTTGATTCCTAATAATTTTAAGTCATAAGTGACTATTAAAATGGCCTCTAAAAGGAATGCTTTCACTCTGCCCTAAACACTATAGCTACTATTATCTAGCCTCATGTGGCTACTGAGCAACTAAAATGTGCTAAGTAAAACTGAGGGAGTGAATTTTATTTAGCCTTAATTAATTGAAATTTAAATTAAAAACTAAAGCCAGGCTAATTTTTATAGTGATGACAGAATGCAGCAACAATATTTTGGATATAGTGAGTTAAGTAGACTATTAAAATTATATGTAACTATTTTTTAAATTATGTATGTGACACACATTGTATTTTTGTTGGACAGCACTAATTTGGAACAATACATTGGATTTAGTTATATAGGCTACATTCTAGAATATTAATTGTAAAGTGGTTGCTTTGATCTCAAGGTCTTTTATTAACTTCTTGGCAGAAGTTATTACAGGAGAAATTCAAGTTGCTTTAATTTGCTAAGGATGTAAGTTATGACTTTCTTTAAATACAAAGAAATACAAAGTCCATGAACACTGTTTTGCACATATGTATGCACACATATATAAATTTATCTACAGTTATCTACATTTGCAAATCTTTAAACTGACCTTTAGATCTTCAAATTTAGCTTAGTGTAGCAGAACAAGACTACACTAGAGAATATTACTAAAATTGCCCATTTTTATAAGCAAACCTC